TTGCTGGTTTTGGCAAGGACTGTACTAAAATCCTGGAGCAATTCTGACTTCTCCTCTTTACTGGTTGCAATCACATTTTCTATTTTCAGCATAATTTTAGTAGAACACCAGAGTGCCTTTTTTTATGCTCAGACATATAGATAATAAGTTGCATCACACCAAGTTGGAGGATGACATGATTTCTCTTAAGACTTGAGTGTTAAAAGTTTATGAGAAGTTTGATTTAAAACTATGGTCTACACCATGTTCCCTAGGGGAAAAGACAAGGCTCCTTTAAAGCTTGGAAATGATGCTCCATTTGCATTGCATGGATCTGAATATACTGGATTAAGTTGCTTTATGTGATGTTATGTGACTGAACGTAACCAAGTATAACCATATGGTCCATAAAGTAACTTGTGAAATAGACTTGCCTTACCCTGGGAATAGATGTTGCTCATTTACGATCCCCAAAATATTCTGTGTCTGAATTGCTTGCAAGTAGTACGAGGGAGCTGGGCTGTGTTTTGAGGCTGGTGCAGCAGCCAGACAGAATCCTGACACCAGCTCAGCTATAAAATGTACTTGTAGGTCAAAGCTACAGAACAATCTGTATCATGCTGCTTGCTGTCGTTAGCGTGCAGATCTGTTCAATATATAAAAATGCTAAATTACTGATCCTGGGTATGTAAAACTGAAGGCTGTAAAGACTATCACATTATTCTGGTTTGTTCTCCAAGGAAAAGAATAATCTTGGAATACAGTTCTCCTACACATTGACCTTAAGGATAAAATAATCTGTTTGAAGTGATCCCAACTCATTCCTCTGTAGCTTTAGTCCCTGTCTGCTATCATTGACAGGTAATTTTTTCCCATTCTTTTGGTGTGCAGTTTAATCACATAAAACTACTCAAACACTTCTAAAATATTTCAAATACACATTTTTTCTGATTTGCCTTATGTAATAATGATCTGCAAATCCTAGAAGCTTTCCTGACAGACCTTGAAAGACTATTTTCATTTCCAAGTTGGTCATTTATAGTAGCACTTGGATGTTCTGGAGTCACTGGATGTTACTAAGATGGACCATAATTACAAAGTTAAGGCTCAGATCACAGTTACTTCAATATCATGGATTAATCTGAATTCAGAGCCTGGTACAAGGCTGTGACAAAGAAGTACAGAATTTAAATGAGAAGTCCTCAGGACAAAGAATGCTTTGATCCAGAATTTTTGTCTAAATCTTTTGCTAATATCTACAATTTTTTTTCACTTCAAAGAATGGCTGGGCATAGCCAAACACTAAAAACTTGTTCCTGTGAGAACAGAATTGGAGCACTGGAGCAGTGGAGACTTAGCTGACTTTCTTTTCTTTGTTCTTCACCATCAATAACACCCATGAAATTAATATTTCAAAGTAAATAAAAGGAGAGAGAAGAAAGAATAAATAATATGATCAGCAGATTAATCTAATAATTTTATGGTAGTACTGGCAATAACCATTGTTGTTTTAAAGCACGATGAACAGCTCTTTTTTGATTAAAACTGCATGGAAAAAAATGTATGCTCTGCTTCTTAAATATCTTAATGAAAATAGTTTTGCTAACAGATTCATCCTTTCCCAGTTCCCTATGAACTGAGTAATACTTGATAGAAACCAATGGCTAGGTAAGTGAATCAAAAGGAGACACTTCTGATGAATGGCCAGAGGCAGTCCTGTATATTACATGTTGCAACCTTATAATTAAATAGTGAAGTTTAAATTCAAATATTGTATCAACTACCTGTTGAGTTTATTAGATCAGTACTTTATTATATCTTAAATTTTGTGGGAGGCATCCATAAATATCTAAACCCCTGCTAAGAATATAAATCCAGAGGTGATGAACTCTATTTCATTACAGAGATTTATGCCTTTAACAAGAAAAGAGAATATTTGATATTAATAATAAAGATCTTCACAAATTTCCTAGGGATTTACTTGACTATATAATCCTGTGCAGTTACTCTATTCATCCCCAATTTCATGTGCTTTTTGAAGACTGATAATTCATCTTTTCTATTTTGTTAAATAAGAGATTTCAGAAGTCATAGAACATTTCTGTGCATGTGTGTCTGCATGTGAATGCGCATATACATGCAGGGAAGCTTCTCCCCACTTTGGACTCAGAGCCACACCAATCCACTCACAATTCTGTTTTCTCAATCTTTTTTCCCAGAATGTTTCTACAGATGTCTGTGGCAGAGGTATCAGGCCCTACTCATGAATGCTGGATGAAAAATATACAGATATTGGCTTCCCCACTACTCAAGGAACTAATTTTTGAGACTTATTTCACCTCCAGAAGTAGCTCAGTACCTGCACTATTTAGACTTAAATTACAGTGATGGGAAATAAATGTAATTTTCTTACCAGGTACTGAATTCTTTCCACATCTGGCATTAACATGAAGTGATGAAATAGGCAGGAAAAGAGGAATTAGAGGTAAAGAAAGGTAGAAACAGATAATCATTCCTAGAAGTAAGCACCAAAGCTCTGGGAACTATGTCCGTTTCACAGTATTTCCACTGTCCCTCAGTTTCTTCCCAAAATGTTCTTTGAGCGAGTGGCCAGAAAAGAAAGCAAGCAAAGTCATGAGCAACCAAAAGAAAAGTTATTCTCTTTATTTCCTATCTAAAAGTCCAAAACTAAAACACTAAATGAAGGGGAAAAAAAGGAAATGAAGTTTTTTTGACCTTTGTCCTTTGGACACCAGCTAGACTTTTTTCCCCACTGTGAAGGATAAGCATAGTGAAAAGGGAATGAAGCCTCGCCAAGCATGTCCAAATTCTTCATTTCCAACCCCCTGTTTCCTTCTGAGAGAGGGAGTAACCTCTGCATATTACATTATTAAGCTGCGACTAACAAATATAGTGTCTCCTTCCTGTCACGCTTTACAGCAGACCAAGGACATGCAAATCATGAGACTATAGATTTATTTTACCTTATTTCATTAAATATGTATCTGTGAGGGAAACAGGCACAGCCAGGATTATTCCCTTAGAACAATTTCATAAATTGCACATGTTCTCACAGACTTTTAGGCACAGACTAAACATCCATCACTCCTTCCTTAGATATTTTCCTCAGGTCCTTCATTTTATTTTCCTCTCCCCTCTGGGTTGTAAAAAGTTGAGCCATTTCCTCCATAAAATAATCATCTTCCTAAAATAAGAAAATAGATGCTTCTGACAACTGTATATCATTATGGTGTTCAAGCTACATAAAATAATCCCAACATCTGTTTCTCTGTCAGTTTTCCAAACCCTAACCTACTAATAATATGCTAGACGGATGGTAAAACCAAGTATCACACTATCTGAATCCTTCTGATTAAATAAATGCAATGTGGATGTGTGGCAGCTTTTGTGACAACACAAAAATGTATGGAAAAAAAAATAGATGCAAAAAGAATCATAACAAAAAAAAAAAAGGGAGCATATGCCACTGATAAGCAAACATCAAAAGTAAACTCTAGAAAAATAATTTTAAGACCTGCCATTTTTCACAACAAATTTGACCTGTTCTGTTTTTACAGTTATATCACTTACAAGATAATTTCTTGCAGATTTTGAAATCATGGCTGACCAGTGATAAAATTCTCTTTCTCTGCATGTGTCTAATGCTCAGAAAGATGTTCTCTTGATTGACCTTAACATTTTACCCTGGTACTGCCACCATGAGACTGCTTCTTATCAGTGGGAATCATTCAGTGTTACGAAATCTCCAGTGAAGGCAGTTGTCATCTAGTCATGCAAGAACATTAAGGATGTTCTATTGCATTTAACTGTGATCTTAGTAAATGTTTAGGAAACAATAGCTGGATTTGATAAAAATATTTTTCCCTATGTTGGAGCCACAGATGAGGCAAGAGGCAAAAGGAGGCTGTCATGACATCCATTTCTATGCCAGACTTGAAATACCTTTCTTCTGCTCAGTATATGATTAATGACCCCAGGGAGCTACAAATGGAAAATTGAATCAAATTGGAGATCCTGCTACTTAAATATCCCATCTCCAGAAACACAGAAGAACAGAACAAATAGACGAGTAGGTAGTAATAACCATCTCACAATAAGCTGCATTGTATGAATTTACAAAGCTAGAGATGGTGTTCACATCTTTGCACTGAGCACCCCTTGCTGCACTTTAATTCTCTCAGTTGGAATACTCAGGTTTTGGAGTGGCTTTCTTGTGGTTTCTGCAGCTGTCTGGATCCTGCAACTTGGAAGAATTCATGTTGTTATCTCTCCATCTTTTTTGTGCTATTTAATTTGAAAAGAGAAAGTGCAGCTGCCTCATTCCTCTTCATCAACTCTGCACCTAACTTCCAACTAATTTTGATTGCACATTCCCCTATAACCCTAATACCTCCCTTTGTCTGTAACTGGCTTTATGAATGAAGGCACGGTGATTAAATTACAGTGATGACATGCCTGCATTGACTTATCTGCTATGCATTGTGGTATATGACAGGGTTTGTTGTGTAAAGTCTCTCAGGCTATTAGTTGTCTGAAATAATCTTGCAAGAAAAGGTTTAATTTTTAATGATAGCATTCTAAGTATCAAAGTGGAGCTGAGAATGGAAAAAAAAATGGAACGAAGTAGAAAACTTATGATAGAACACCTTCTAATTACAATAACGCACTCCAGGGCTCAAATTATCAAATGATAATTTACACCTAGGTGATTTGACAGCACTCGGCCTTTGGCCTTCTGCCTAACAACACAATAGGCGTAAATCATTACCAAGCGATTCACACCCTGTCATGTCTTATTGCTTAATTAATTTGTCTAAAAGGCTTTCCATGAGAACTTAGAGCAAATGCCTTTGTTGTACATCTTTTAGTATGGGGGTCAGTACCTGCCCTCTCTGTCATTCTCAGCTCTCATTTCAGCCTGCTGTAGCTAACAGCAAATTTTTGCTTTTTTCATGCAGTCATTTAAATTGATGTTTGCATTTTTTGCTCTCTTCTTTTAGGAGATTTCACCAGTGGTTCAATGGCTGCTGTGGACCCATGGATGAAGGTTATACTCATGCTGAGCTTAGGACTGCAAAGAGCCTAGAAATGATCTTATGGGTCACTGGAACATTGCACTCAAGCAGTTAAAATGTTGTTTTTATTAACTTGTCAGTGTATGTTTATTCAAGCAGCAATACCAACCTCATATATAATCTTAGAACAAGTAAAGCTATATTGTTGAGGCAGACATTAAATATTTTGAATATAAATAATGCATAGTATACTCTCGCAATGATCCAATCTGAAGCCCTGGCACTGATCTGGAGAATAATAAATCTGATGGTAAAAAAAAAGGAGTTAAACAAATTTATGGGGAATATAACTACTGATATCCATTAGACAGATGATCCAGCTGCAATCTTGAGTCCTTAAACTACTGATTGTTGAAAGCCAGTATGACTTTACAAGGGAAGTAGCCCTGGAATTCACTTCTGACTCTTTAGTAGGGAGGATGTTAGGTTAGATGAATCAAACATGCAGGAAGGCTCATTTATGTTCTTATGAACAGTGATAACCAGAATTTCCTGAGCAGTCTTTTCTGCTAGGAAAAAAAAAAAAAAGTTAAAATAAAAGACCAGAAATATTCCATAAACCTTTGCAATGAAAATAATTTTTCTAGATGTTAACTTAAGTCCTATCCAATCCTCTTCAAATGCTTCCTTTATCAAAATTATTTGCCTGTCCTGAGAACAAGGGAACAAACAATATGTGACCTGTCCTTGCATCCAGAATAGCCACTGTTGGAAGATATCCAGTATCTGGAATGATGAGCATGGCACAAAATTGAAGGTGGGAGCCATAAACATGTGACATTCAAGGCAAGGGAAAAGCTGGAGATAGGAATTACATCTTTGAGTAAGCAATGGTCTCTCAAGGAAAAGCACTATTGTGGAAAATTTGTCACCTAATTTCCCCTTCCACTGAATGCTGGGAGTTTTAATAAAAAATATTGCTGTTGTAAAATAGAAAACAACCAACCAAACAAAAAACCGTAAAAAATCAGACCAGTTTTGGTGAGTGAAATGGCCTTGGCTCAAGAGCTGAAGTTCTTTAGCTGTTCTTGCAGCAGGCACAGTGGGGGAGCCAGGAGGCCACCAAGCTGCCTCCAGCACTTCTCAGAGGGCACAGAATCATGAGCTGGTTTCATGCCTGTTTAAATACTGGGTCTTTCTTTCTTTAACTGTCACCTAGAACTAAAAAAATATTTCATGCTACCTTGGCTTGCTCTGATTTCACTTTCCTGACTGTAATCTTTCCGCAATGAGATTGTGATTTCTCCCAGACATCTCCTGGCTGAAGACTGAGTGGGCTGGGAAATGTCCTTAAGCTATCTCAAGCCACGGAACACTCATTATTGGCCACATGAAGGCTTTTAATGTCTGTGCAGGTGAATGCAGAATCAAATTTCTATCTAATTAGCATTTGTATTCTTAGATGCACATGCGATTCTATTTAGAAATTGTATTTTGGGAAACTATCAATCTACCTCACACCTCTTCCTTGATTTTTATTGCTATTAATATAAGTAAGAAAGAGGTGACAGGAATGCAAATAAATAGACACAAGACTACATTTATCTTCCAAGAATCTTATTTCTCCTTATTGAATTTTATCTTTGAAAATGAAATTATGTACTTGCAACTTAACACCTGCAAACTACAAAAATTTACTTCACTTCTTTGACAACCTGAGAAGGAACATCTGGGAAAACCAAGCCAGAATGTGAGCAGTTGGAAATTTGATTGCAAGAGAATATAAATTCTTCCCTTAAATAGAATTTACAAATGAATACTATTTTCTGAGGATGTCCATGTCCCTTATCAAAGGTACTTTCTTTCTAATTCTTAAAAATGGAACTGTCTCTTAACTCAAATTTCAGATTAAGATGTTCCAACAGATATTTCCTTTTTTCTTCTTGATTATGTTAATTTGCCTTGTGTACATCTTACCTGAGACTGAGCTTCCAGATAAGACCATGATTTTATTATTTCATGGCTGTTTGTGTAATGGCAAAATCAAAATGGGGATGTCAGAATTTGGCTCTCCCCATTTCCAAGAGTGTTGACTCTAATTATGTAAGGGTGACTTGGTCATAACCTCAGGTTCAGCAGATCAAGGCTCACTGTTCTTTGCAGCCGTTTGCTAGAGAGCCACATGGACCAAGAACAGAAATCTTCTTTCGATTGTGAAGATTTCTTGTTTACTGTTTTGACAAATATTTGACTTATTTGGGAACCTCATATAAGATAGCCAATTACATCAATGGCTTTAGCAGATGTCATCTTAAAATTTTTATATCCTGTGTATGGTGTTCCTACAGTACAAGAGAACATGATTTAGAGGTAGCCAACAGCTACACTTTTTTAAGAAAGTCAGGTAAGCAGGGTATGTATTTTACCACTAAATAACCTGAATAACCTTCCTGAACACTCACCAGCCCAAGTGACCTGCTGAGCTCCAGTGAAGTTTCCAAGATCGGTTCAGCCTGAAGGAGGGCCAAACCATGTGAATTCATAGAATTGCACAGAGCACACAGACAAGCCCAATAGTGATGATTTCAAAGGCAGACATCTAGCTGTTCCTTTCATTCCTTTTATTTTTAAAAAAGGAATTAATTCAGTGTTATTTCATCCCCTACAACTGTTGGAAAATACCCATGAGTTCGGCTATCAAGTTAAAAAGAAACTTTATGGGGACCACCCAGAATCTGTCCTTGGTTATCCGGGGAAACAGAGCTTTAATGAAAGATTTTCTTTTCCCCCTGTTTTTGTCCTAAACTTTAAAAGGGAAGGAGAGCCCTTTTAGGATTTAGGCAGCTGCCCAGACAGTAGCTTGCTCTGTCAGTCAGCTTGGCCCACATTCTCTGACTTCCCTTATCTTAATTCCAGACTCTCTAATAGTAATGTTGAGTACTCAAAACCCTAAGCCACTTTTGATCTTTTTATTAAAAAAAAACACAACAGGTTTGGGAGGTTGGCTTTTGAAGATGCATAAATCTCCTGTTTGTGATTTACTTGTTCTTGACCTTAAAAAGTGTATTGGAAGGTACCATTAACTGCAGGAACTTGTTTATTTGACTTCTGAAACCCTGGTTCTTGCATGGATCAGCCTCATTTCTGCTCGCTTCTCAGAATGTTCTGAACATAAAGCAAGAAATGCTTTTACCTGCTTTTGGTGGTAAAAGGAGCATCTCTGCTCTGACAGCACAGTCTTTAAAACAACAGCAGCGGCAGTGTTCTTTATTTTGTTTCTGAATACAGATTATTTTGCAAGCATTCTGATTAAGCCAGAAAAAGGGGAATTAAAACAAAGTAGCCTAGATTGAAGAGTGGAATATGACAATCTATTTAGGGGGAGTCTCCTTTGATTTTTATTTGAGAACAAGGCTAAGTTTCCTCTTATTAGGCCAAATTTTACTGTCATTACACCTGGCAAGTTAATCAAAGGCAGTGTGATGGTAGAATTGCAATTGAATTCCACAAGTGTGACATGGCACAGTCAGAAAGATTAGCTTGTAAATCCTCTGTAAAGACTATCTGCAGGACAGTTTACAAAACAGTTTTAACAGTGGCAAGACAGAGTGCAATGGTTGAGCAACAACAGAATCTTCATAATTTTTTCAGTTTGAACAGAAATTCTGAATTACAAAGGCACTTTAAGATTCATCAGACCTTTGGAGCTCATTTCCTACATTGTGACCCAGGACACTCGACAGGTTACAAGGAAGCCTTGCAGACAATTCATGGAGCATGACCCAAATGTGACATGAGAGCTCAGCCTGATCTTGGAATCACAGCCTGGTCTTTGTCACCAGGACTGCCCTAGCTTTGCTCATTTTTGATTAGGACATTTAGTCAGAAGTTGATGATAAATATTTTTCCTGTTCTTCCACTCCATTCTTTCTCCCTGTAGTTAATAGCATTGTAGAAATAGAAGCAGCAAAGAGTTCATCCGACGCAAATGCTTTACAAGCACCTCTAAATTGTGATCATACCAAATTTGCATGCCTGCCATCTGCACAGAAACCCTGTCTTTACTCCAGCAAAGCTGACTTGCTGAACTTACAGTCTCTAGATCTTACAGCTCTGCCCTATTGCATGTGCAAACACAGACAGTGGGGACAGCAGCAGCTGTGTGTGTCCATCCAAGGGCAGAATGCACACTTAAGCTTTAATAATAATACTTGTGGCAATATGTAACATTTAAATAAGCCTTTTCATCTTCAAAGTCCTCTGCAGGCACACAAATTTACCCAGCATCTCTCTGGTGTGGCTATTATTAGCATAATTTTACAGAAGCAGTCAGGGGACAAAGAAAAACAATGAGATTTGCCCAGGGCATCTAGTGGGATCACAAGCAGAGAGATTATTGTAAATTGGCATTACCTGGGAACTTCATTTAGAGATCATCAAAAAGAATAACATAGGGATACGTGTTGAAAGAACTACACAGAGTGTGGTCACTGTGTGTGTGATATGCTCTTTTCTAAGAATTATGGATATATCCCAGCCATTAACCTAACAGGAGAAAAAGGGGGACATTTTAATCAGTGAAAGTCATGCAGAATTCTCTTGCTGGCAGTTCAGTGTTGCTCAGTGTATTGTGATGTAGATTTGATTGATTTTTTGCAGAGAAGTGCAGCACACTGCAGGGAATGTGAAATATCACCTCCACTGTACATTGATTTAAACCACACAGAGTTAAACTGCAACAATCTAGTGACTTCTGATCAAGCCACCCTTCTATAAATACATGATCAATCTTTTTGTTTTTTAAGGTACTTCATTTTCATGGGAGCAAATTTCTGTGCTAAAGCTGAAGTGCAAAGGAGCATCAAAACTATATTACAGTAGCTCAAATACTAATGCACTGTGTCCTGAACTGTACCTCCCTCAGACACATGACATGGTTTTGATCTAAGCTTTAGGGAATAATGTGGACAAAAAGCCTTTTCAAAAACAGAGAATAAAAATGGTCTTATTTGAAATTTGAGTATAACAGCTGAAAAAAGCACCACCCTCATCTTTATTAGCCTGCTATTCAATCCACATGAAGTGAAGACATTGTAACGCTGCTATTATCACCCCACTGGAAGTGGAGTGGGAATAAATGGAAAGAAATGCATTACAGGCAGTCCAAGAGACCTGATCCTGAATTGCACTGAGCTTCTTATTCCAAGCCAGGAGTCCTTTTAGCTCTCCTTGACCTCAGTGAGAAATTTGGGCTCCCCAGAGCTTGTGCACAGTATTCTTTATTCTTACAACTCTAGGCTAGGTGCACTGAAAAAATACATTTCAAAGACACTAAATATGTTTACTCTTTTTTTGTTTGTTTTGTTCTTACATCTAAATGTAATACCTCTGGCAACATAAAGGTATGGTAGCTGAACATTATGTAAAATATAGAAATCACGTCTATTTGTCCAGAATTTGTAAGGTTAAGAATATTCTGCAGGAAAAAAGCACATTATCCTTATGGAAGTGGATTTGCATTTGTATTTTCCTATTAAAACCTTTTATTTTACAGATTCTTCTAAGTTCTTTATATGAATATAGTAGGCACAATATACTCCATCAGCATGATAATGACTGGAAAAATATTGTTGTGGGGGGGGTTTTCATAAGAAACAACAGCAAATGCTAGAAGTCTTATTATCCAGGGTGCAGGTGAATTTTTCTCTTTTCCTTTATTTACAGGGGACAGCTACAGGCACACCACTCGCTCTCTAATATTCCTACAGAAACAGCAGCCATCTGGGTGCTGGGGTGGGTGCACCGAGCCCTAGGGTGCCTTTAGCCAGTTCACTTGGAATCTCGAGTCTGTCCTGTCCTATCACCCAGCAGCAATGGAACATTTGTTCCCCGAAGGGCCGGCACGCTGCCAGCAGCAGGTGTTAGGCTGTCCTCTGGGATGAAGGCAGCAGGCATGAGCACTGATGTGTGCCCATGACAAGATGTTGCAAATCTGCTCTCATAGTGACGGTGACAGCATCTGGGACAGTGTTGTGAGTCACCATTCTGTAACCATTAAAAACCAGTTGCCATTCCTTTCATAATAATAAATTAAAATATCATTCCAAAGCGTGCTGGTCTCAGGAAGAAAATTAAAGAAGGCATGTAGGGATAAACACATGTGTGTGCACTGGCACACACAGCATTACAGTGTGTGTTATCCCACTGTGTTCAAGTGATTGTGTCTTAAATTTACAGGTACAGTTGATGGATAGGATAGGGTTATGGCCACTATTCAGACTGCATTTTTAGATTTTCCTAAAGGAAATGCAATCAAGAGGAAAATGTTTAAAAGTAATTTAAAACTATTCTTTACTATCCTTTTAAGCTAATGATTTTATAATTAATAGATAATTCTTACACAGTTGTATCTATTAAGCCCAGATTTCTAAGTCACCTCAGTTTTAAATTTTATTTACATAGGCTGAACTTGTGCTTCTTCTGCCTAAGTGCAAAGCTAAGCAGGGCATGTGGCATTTTAGGAGAAGAGGATTTATATAAATATCTACATGGAAACAATAATAGATTAGCAGTAGCTGCCTCTTTCCAAAATATCTGTTTTGAAAATGCTTTCATAGATCTGTAGGCAGGTGCACAGATATTGTTTCCGTGACTTCTTCCCACAGAGATCATATTCTTCTACTTTGATTTAAACTGGATTTGAATATGGGTACAGTACATTTTTAAAATTCGCCAACAAGCCATACAGCAAATAGCCAAATAATGCTGTCCCTTGATTTTTCTGGACTTCAGCCAGGCATGTTTATCTTCCAAGGGATCTAAAGCCAAGACCCTCCATCTTATTGACCTTTCTTGAATATATTGCATGGGACTCAGTGACTGGGCCTCCCTTTGACCACCGGCCATTTGTCAGCAAGGCCACTGCTTTCATTTGGGCTGAACCCAACCCAGTTCAGATCAAAGGCAGAACTGTTAGTGATGTCAGCAGAGCCAGGATTTCACCCTGGACCTCCACACTTACAATGATCAGCATTATTGTGATGGAGGTTTATAACAGCATGAGGGGCTTCAGCAAGAGAGAGAACTCACATTGAAACTGACACAGTTTAGCTCAAGTGGTTTTTAGCATTTTAATGTTTCCCCTCTATTCATGTTCAGTCTACACTTGGCTTAACAATCTGGGTGGTTTTTCACTACTTTTAGTCCACCAAATAAGGAATTTTCCTTCTTGTTTCTCCTTTAGTCTTTCCTGGAAGCCCTCTATTTTTAGGTTTGCCCAATAACATCCCAGGTACTGCTGAAGACCAAATTCCTTGTCTATCAATCACCACATTTCAGTGAGAAATAAGTTATTTCCACAAAGACAGATGAGAAATTTCTTTCAAATGCTCCATCTTGTGAAAATATATTTTACTTTTCTCTTTTCTCTTTTAATTTTGTGCTGTTAAATAAAAAATTTCAAAATTTGTTGTATATTATTTTTCATCATAAATGGAATGTCCAATATAGAATCGGGGGGCTTTTTTGACAGTTTTGAAGAAAAAAATGTTTTTCTTTTTTTAGAACAGATTTGGTCAATAATTTGGAAAAAAATGTACAGAAAATATAAAGGGCAAATATTTTTTTTTCTGGTCCTTTTCAAAATAAAATGTCTCATTCCAAGAAATCTCTCTTTGTTTTGTTATGAATACTTTAGAACTTCCCCTCAGAACCAAGTATCTGTCATTAAAAATTTTACCTAAACCTGTAAGAAGACAAGACTCATGAGAAATTTTAAGTGATATAAATAGGGAAAAAATTATATTTGAATGTTAAATTCAAAGACAATGCAGAATACTTTTTTTATAATATGTATTTTGCAATGGAATTGAAAAATTGATCACTGAGATATTTTTTTTTTCTGTGTATTTCATATATAGGAAACCAGAAAGCTGATGTAGTGGCAATATCAAACAACTTCTCTCACCACACATTAAACTCCTCTGTTACCTGTAATTCTACTACACACTCAAAATTTAAGGCAGGAATTGCTCTATAGACACTATATACAGTGTCTTCAGTATAAACACTCAGTAAGACAGAAAATAAACTTCCTTCTGAAAGGGGAGAAACAAAACCAGACCAAATAAAGTGGAGCTTTGAACCCCTAATAATTTTTAGGGATTAACTGCTGGGTCTGTGTTTAGTGACATAACAACGCCAAATTCAAAAGATGCCAATTACATTGGCCCCTTGACCTCTGCTAAAGCCTGGTGACAGGCACCTCTCAGGTCATGGTCCTTTTGGTATTTTTAGGTGAAAAACTAAGTTTTATTCAGTCCCTCACATCATTCACCCACCGGCTGTGTGTTTGAGATCAAATTTTCAAAGTCAGGCATGTGAATTTGTGCATGTACATATACAGGCATCAACAATTGAAAACCAAGCCCATGGTTAAAATTAAAAACACCCACCCAGAATCCTGTTCCAATGTGAAGCCTACAAAGGCCCCTTGAGAAAGTTGAATCCTTTATTGAAATGTTTGACAAAGAAACCACATACTTTTCTGTTTTGATGCATTAGATAAGGATCTTTTTTTAAAGAAAAAAGCCTTTGCTCTAAATCAGCAGCATGAAGAATTAAAACATGAAAACAAAAGCATATTATTTAAAGAACAGCCTGTTCCCTAAACTGTTACTGTGCTGGGTGCCAAACCACATTTTGTGATATATCATGTACAACCTCCTCTTGCATGTTTTACTGTTATGCTTTACATGACTTGGAGTGAGAAAACCCTGATAGTTCTGCCTTGGACTTACCACAAAGACTGGTCCACTCACAGAGCTGAATCACAACATGACAATTTCCTCCTGGGATGATGATTCTGAAAGAGGTGGAAAAGTGTTTGTTTACTTGGTGCTATGTATGAAAATCTGAGTTAAATAGAAATGTGAATTCATAGTGGATCTGTTGCCCTTCACAAAACACTTGGTGGTTGCAGAATGACAGCGACCTTGCTGCAAAGTGCAACTCACACGCTGTAGGGCCACTTCATTCTCACACAGGTCTAGAAATAAACGACAGTGACCTAACTTGAATGTGAATTTGCAGTGTATAAACCATAATTATTGCCAGTATGCAAGCAAGCCTTGCAAGTAGAGGTAAATGGGAAACAGTTTATTTTACAGAGGGCTATGTTATATTTAATTTACAGTGGTGTAACAACAAGCACACATGCAGTTACTGCAGAGCAGCTCATGTCCACCAACTTCATCCTCAAATCTATGCTGGAATATTTTAGTTATATGTCTCTACCTTCCATCACTCCATTTATTCCATTTAATCCATTATCAAAATTCATCCTGATTAATTTTCCAGAACACACCTGAGAGGACAAGCCTAACTTTGTGTACTGTGGTAGAGAGAAGGGTTCAGCAGCCTTTCATAGGTGTTTTTTGTAGCCTTTCCCTGAACAAATCCTGTCCCAGAGACACTTACAGGTTATAAGAAAGGCAGGTCTGACAAATTAGCAAGGCATAAAAGGACTGGAGCTGGCTATGGAAAGGGTGTAAGTGGAGGCAAATGGGAAGTGGAGAAAACTGCAGCTGGAAGTCAATAAGGACAGCATGAGTAGAAGCTGCTGTTAACTGCTCTCTTAGGTCAGGTAGAGAGGTCCAAGCTATGGTACAAAAGGTCCCAGACTCAGGACTGACCCTCAGGGATATCATTGTGATGGAAGATCTATTTCCCATTTTATTTATGATCCTTTTAGAAAGATGACAGGCAGGGACTATACTGAAATTATACGTCTTTTATTGCCAAGGACTTATGGGAAAAGAGATTACAGAATCGATGTCATTCCTTCAGTTGAAATTGAATTCTCTCTGTTCATATGCATTATATCTTTAATAATATAATTGTGTGATATTTTTTCTACAAGTCTCTTGCCTTATTCCTTGCACAGTTCTGACCTATGCTGGGATGAACCAGAGTTAAATAGAGAAGTAGACTGATCTGGATCTCCACATATTGAGAAACTAGAGCTAATAAATGAGGTAGAGATTCTTGGGAGTTATAGGAAAGTTAAATCCACTTACAGCTGAGGTCTGGACTGTCTAAGTGCCATTACTAAAGTCTTCATATAGTCAGTGATGTATGGTCACTTATATGTGTCTCATTTTCAGAGGGCCCAAACTGATACTCCAGGGTTAGAAACACTGAAGTGCTGAACCAGCTGAAGGTGAGGACATAAAGGGCCATGCCAGGAACATATAAAGTTTAACTTGGTATTCCTGTAAACATTTATGGTAACTCAACATATACTAAACATTTATAGTAAAGTCAAGTATCAGTAAAAAAGAAGCATGAGTATATGGAAAAGATGGAATATATTTAGATATAGTGAAAATAGAAAGTAGCCTGAATTGAAAATTCTCTTTTATACATAGTATTGCTGTGAATTCAGTGGATTCCAAGGAAAAAAATATTGAATTTAGCGACTCTACTAATGTCACTCAGGTGATCCAACTGCTGCAGATTTTTACTTGCTGCATTTAAAAAAAATAATAGTCATAAGAACATATTTTCTGTAGTTAACCCTGAATTAGTGCATTAATGTGAGGAACTAGTGATAAGTATTCTAAAATAATTTAAAAATAAGGATTTTTTTTCTGCTTTCTGTACATCATTTCCCTTCACCTTCTGGTGGTATAACAAAAATAAATTAAATCTTGTAGATAACATACGTAAATGTGACTGTAAAAAGCTCAAGAGGAAATTAATAACTCAGGGCAGTAAACAAGGCCTGGGACCACACATTGAACTGTGAGGAAAAACAGAAGTTTTTCTGTCCCATCTATCTTATATGTGAATAAAACCCCACACAGTCGAGTAAACGTAGCATAATGCATACACAGAACTTGTGCAGTCTTAATTTCAGCTTTCTAATGTTTCAATCTTTGAAGTCCCCAGTCCTTTTAACATTCCTTAAATGTTATTTCACTGTAATTACTGTGTTTGTAATGAGAGATTTGTTTTCCCAAATGGAGTTATTCTCTATCAGTCCAGTGAAGCTCTGGGAAAGGAGAAAGGGTTGTGGCTTACCTGCTCAAATCCCTTGCACACATGGTCAGATAATTCTGACCAAACTGAAGATTTTTCCTCAAAATCTTTCATTCCAGAAGAAAGAAATCCTCCCCTGTAGGAAAGTGCAGAAAAGAGCCAGGCTGACAGTTTATTCCTGAGTTTATTCTGAGAGGTGCTGCCCAATCCCTTACCTTGGGCAGGACTGTGGTGGAGCACATCCCAGCCCATGAGGGAGGCAAGTGTTCATTGCACAAATGTGGATGAGCAAAATCTTATGGTTTATGAGGCATCTTCGGTGAACTGTGTTTATATTATGGTTGGGCAAAGGTGCAAGTTTTGTGCCTTTTTTCTTCCCTAAAAAGGGAAAACCACAGAAAGAAATGGAGATGAAAAGGAAACAAGTAAACAAATGTGATTTTACGGAAACTGAGGGACAATTTATCCTCAGCACAGCAAGCAAAAACTTGGAAAACATTTGGAAAAGTCAGAAAACAAGTTAAAGTTGGTTGGCAGACTCTGACAGAGCTGACAGCTAAAACTACCCCTGGCATGTTGACAACAGTGTGGCATCAATCTGTGTGTAACAACCTATCCTTGAAAAACTCCATCCTGGATTTAAGCTAGCACTTCCTAACCTTTTCTCTACCCAGCATCCAAGCTGCGGTGTGGAAAAAGTTTTTAGATGTGACTTTTAATTTGTTCACGGACAGCGGCCAGCTCCCTCTCTCAGACCGCCATCATGGCGGCCGCCTCAGCCGCGCTCCCTCACGGACTCCCAGCCCTCCCTCCCGCCTCAGCTGTCAGCACAAACACCCCTCCCCAGCTCCCTGCTCATCCCTGACCTGGGGTCTCCCACCTACTCCACATTCCCACTTACTTTCTCCTGAACATGCCTCCGTTTCCTGAAGCAAGGCTGTGGCAGGAAGATGTGGAACATTTTGGCGGGAAAATGAGGAACCTTGTGGCAACACGGCTGCCCTCAGTGTCGCCCACCCGGCTGTAGCTGCGAGCTGGATGAGGGGGCTCTGAGCACGCTACTAAACACAAGGTTGTTATTTCCTGCAAGACAAAACGGCCTCAAGTTGCTCCAGGTAAGGTTTAGATTAGATTTTAGGGAAAATTTTTTCATGGGAAGTGTCCGGCCGTGTCACAGACTGCCCAGAAGAGCTGTGGAGTCGCCATTCCTGGGTGGATTTAAAAGAGGTATGGATGAGGTACTGGGCGACATGGCTTTGTGGTGGCCTCAGTGTTGCTAAGGGAACATTTGGATGTGATGGTCTGAGTGCTTTTTCTGTCTCAATAACTCCATGATTTTATGTTTCTGAGGTAGGAAGTAGAGAGAGCTCATAGTAAAGCTGAGGCCCAGCAGCAGCTGGGTTACACAGGAGTTTGGGACATAGGCCTCCACACCAACTTACATGGCTGTCTGTTGTTGCATGAAGGCAA